AAAAATTTTTAACCTATTCAAATATATTACTTATTTAAAAATAACCCCTCTAGAAAAGAAACTTCATTTGAGTTCTTAATTATTTTAGTATAGCATGAAACACTTAATATGCTAAATTAACCACAATTTCAAACCAAATTTTAGATTTTTTCCATTATTCCTTCATATGCATATATTTATAATTGCAGCATAGTGAAACAATACAAAAAAGCCAATAGTTACAAGTGTCAGTAACTTTTTATTGATTACTCAAAATAAAAATTATCATTGTACAAAATCAGTTTTATCTTTTTAGCACTCAGATATATTCCTTATTACTGTTACCTGACTCAATCACTAAATTTAATGCATAACCATTTCAAAAGTAACTGTTTTTTTTTGTCATATTTTTATCAAAACACATTTACATAAGAAAAAAAAAATTCAATGAATACAATTTGGCATTCCCCTCAAAAAATCTAATAATTATAAATTCTTACAAAGGGGAATAATCATATAGATATAAAAAAAGAAAAAATATTATTAGAAATACAATAATACAGTACTAGACAAAAATTTTTTACATATATTAGAATCCTTTTTGCCAACACATTATCACAACATCCCTTTTTCCCCTTTTAAATGAAACCTTTTTTTTTTTTTTTTATTTTTATTTTTTTTAGTGGTTACATGATTTATTTACAGTTATTGTTATATGAAATATAAACAGCACAAATCTATTACAGTAAAAATTTATTCCGTTTCAGATCTATTCTAGTTTGAATCTATTCAAATTTTAAAATAAACATTTAAAATAAAATACAAATATTCTAATATATACATATTACATAATTTTAATAAAAAATAAAAATGGATCTACTTGTTTCATTCACACAGTCTGCTTCAGAATAAGAAGGTTAAAATTGAAACAATTTGCTATTTTCTAAATACAGAATATTTCCCAATATCAGACATTTAAGCAAATAAACTTTTAAATCAATAAATTCATTTACTTTAAATTATAATTTAAGCAGAGCTGCATTCACAATACAGATATTATACTTGAGTTAGGAATCTATCAGGTATATTTATATTCATGCTAATTTCTTCTCAGAAAAATTACACATCAATATTCTTTCTGACTTTGTAAATTTGTGACAGTAATTTATACTTCACTAAAAACTTAAGTCTGAGAATGTCAGAGAGATTTCTCTGTGGTATGAAAGAAGAACAGCTCATAAATATTAGTCTTAACAATAATTTTGAACACTACAATGGAAAATTACATTAGTAAGTATAATGTAATAGAAATTCAATTTTATTCAATAATAAAATTAATTTCATTCTGCTCCTTCCATTACGTAATTGCAACACAACATTAATAAATTATTGCTAATCCATTCTTTTAATGTGGCTTGATCTGTTTTTCCAAAGGGAAATTTTTGGCACTAAGTGTTACATTTAAAACAGTAATACAAATTTGTAAAGTAAAATACCGTATTTGACAGCATATAAGACGCACCCTTATTTAGACGGCCACACACAAGGAAAGTTTCAATAGCGTGGTTTCTTTTAGTCTTCACGTTTCATAAAAGCTAAATAAACAATTATTGAATGCATAATTCATGAATATTGAATACCTTCGCGTATAAGACTGTGTCCTTCACGTATAAGACGCAGGTAACTTTTTTGAGACCAAATTTAGGAAAAAAAGTGCGTCTTATATGCCATCAAATACGGTAGTTAAATTGATATTTCATAGAAGCTTTCCATTTATGAAATTGAAGATGCAAATTAGAATAAAATATCAGAACAGTTCCGAAAATAAAAGCTAAAATAATTGAGTGAATTAAGGTAAATTACAAGCTGCTTTGTGACCACAGAAACTATAGTTAAAACCAATCTGAACTCACTATTACAATGGTTCTCCTTCAGAAAGGTAGATAACTGGTATAACATATAAATAATTTTTCAAAATTCCTAATAAAAATTTAAAAAAACATCCTTCAAAAAAATTCTCATTGACACTAAATGTATCATATTTTATATCCACTCGTGCATTACTGGCATTACACAGCATTTACTATCTTGTGCTGCTTCACAGTTTGCTTTATAATTGATTTAATAATTTAAAAATCATTATCAATAGATAAATCAAAACAAAACATTTTAAGAGGAAACTAATACAAACCTCCTATGTAGAAACAGGAAATTCACTTCACAGCATTAAGAAAGGGAAAAATTAAGAACTTTATAATTTTCATGAAAAATGTTATTTATTATATATTTGGCTTAATTTAAATAAATAGGCCAGTTAAATGAAGTTTCAGATAACTGGAATCCATATAATTCGTTTTACTTCTTATTGCTACATAAAATGTAGGGTTAAGCGAGATAAAAAATTATTTATCAAAATTGCATTAAAATATTTTACTTTAGTTGTTTTTCAAAACTTCTTCCTCTAGGAAACACTTCTTAATAAGCCTACAAATTTTCTAATATTAATAATAATAATATGTGCCAATAATATAGTTGATATGTAAATTAAAATTTCACACTGCATTTCCATTTATAAAATTTTCAGTCCAGGATATTCAAAATAATGCTTTCAGAGTGCAGCCTTTCATTTAAGAAAACCTTGTTATGTTGCAACATTTCAAATTAAAGTTTAATATTAATATCTATACCTGTCAAAAATTATTTAAGTGGACTGTAAAAACACAGTTCCTTTTTAACAAATTTTCCCAAACTCTATACCAGGGATTCTTAACCAAAGGAGAATTCACCTCAGGAAGGAATTTCATAGTTTAAGGGGGGGACTGCAGCCAGCCTGACTTCACCTACTTCCTGTTGTGTTTTTAAAAATTATCTAAATCTAAATTAAATGCATATGCATTTTTCAAGTTTCAGAAAGAGGGAAAATGTTCTAAGCAATCATGAAAAGGGTACATGGAGCAAAAAAGGTTCAGAACACTCTCTCTATACAAAACTCTATACATTAATGTAATATTTTTAATTTTCTGATCAATACGAGAATTGAATAAATAGAATTTTATCTCCTCCCCACTTCTTACAGTTAGTAGTAAGCATTTCTATTCAATTGTAAATGCTATAATTATGCTTTTTATTACAAATTTGAAAAACTTGAATGATTTATTCCAGAAGTCTTTGACAATTGTTTTGAATTACTTTCTACTTTCTCTAATAATTTCACTAACCTTTATGTGATTGAAATGTATTGTATTACAAGCAGCAAATGGTGATTCCACCTATTTCAGAACCTAAAAATTGCTCTATGTTTCTGAAATATGGTAGTTTCACAAAAAGAGACAAAGGTGCAGTTAAACAGAAAGTTTTAATATCTTTTTAATTCTGAAATTTAAGTTTCTAAAGAAGCAATGAAATAATATACCTACAATATTCAATCCCATAAAGTGACATTACTGTTCTAATCATGCAACAAAATATTAGTCTCTGTTCTGATAAAGTGAATGCAACATCAATTTATAACAAATGTTTGATACAAATGCTTTTATCACATTTTTTAAAACTGCCTTTAAATGTAACATGCTCTTATATTGATGAATATTTTATGTTGTCAAGTGAAATGCATGCTAATGATATTTTACTAATACTGCATCTAAACCTTCCCCTCTCAAATAATAACAAATGGAAATATCAGATATATACATGGAGTTTAACTTTACAAAAATAGCATTAGGTTTAAAGATAAATATACAATATTTACAAATTTTTACACAATGGAAGAGAAGTGGATGATAAGATTTATAATTGCTATAACTATAACAGTGACAATTTTACATACAAAATCTTTACACAGATATTTGCCAACACTGTATTAAGTACATAATTATTCTCACAGTAAATAATTATAAATTTATGCATTTTACACACTTTAATGCATAACATATATTTTTGAATTTTACTGCACCTTTCAAATGTCAATAAGAGACATTTATTTAAAAATGGAAACTTAATTCTGGCCCATATTTTGAAAATTTTAGAAAATGACAATAATAATCCTGGACAGTTCAATAATTTTTAAATCTTCTACATAATTAAGAATTAAATATATTCAGGGATATATAATTAATTTTCTCTAAAAACAGATTTCTGTTCATACAAACAAAAAATATTCTGAAATTAATAAAAATCTAGACGAAAAAATAAAAAATAAAATTTAAAAGGATGAAGTGATGTTATTTATATACAGTCAAAAGTTGTTAATCCGGACTCGTCGGGACTTCGGCGATTCCGGATTATCAATTTTTCCGGATTATAGATCATCAGTTTAAATCTCGTAAGATGGCATGCAGAAATTCTAAAATTAAAAATATGAAACCGTAATTTATGAAATAAAGAACAATTATGATCTAAAGGGTATCAAAATTTGCAAAAAGAAAAAGCTTAATATTTATTTGTTTACTTTACTAAACATTTCTTTCAATGTAAGTTGTTTAAGTTTTGCTTCGTTTCATGTGATAATACTTTCTCTTTAATTCTATTAAACAGACATAATTTCTTGTTCAGTTACAAAGTTCCGCTGTTCAAGTCCTATAATTGCTGTGTCAAGAACACCGACTAATTTGTCAATCAAAATTTTTTTGTTTTCAATAACCTCTGTCACTTTTCTTCGCTATCAGAAGCGAATTATAATGACGAGGAACTTGTTTTAAATCATATCAAAGACGGAGCATATCGAGATGAAATACTACATTTGGTAAGGAATTATAAGCCAAATAAAATAAAAACATCTGTGCTGAAGATAAGGATAGTGCTGACAAATCAACTTCCAATTCATTACACGCCCACCCCCGAGCAGCATGAAATTGATAAACAGATTTCGGATTTCAAAACATACTTTCGCTTTAGATCCTTTACATATTAACAAATATATATCGGAAATTCTATTTGATATAATCGAAAGTTTAAGCTTACTTTTATAAAATTGCTCTTACAGTCTGCAAAAAAATAATAAGCCGGATACAATTCGAAAATTAAGGAACAACGCAATCATCAACATTAACTGAAATAGATAATTAGATAATTTTAGCTTATACGTCCATTATATATAAAATGCGCATGCGAAAACGTATTCTGCTCTTGCGCACACTCATATGCGCAGTAAAAAAGGTCTTAAGCGCACGCGTGAATGCCTCTGCACATGTGTCAACGCGGCGCATGCGCAGAAAGTTTTTAGTTTTGATGTCCGGATTATAGATCATTCCGAATTATGGGTGTCCGAATTAACGACTTTTGACTGTACTTCAGAATCTAAATGGTTTTTCACAACTAATAAGGCACATACTTTTTAGAATTTTTTCCTAGTTATGGGCAAAATTCTTAATTTCATGACTTTTTAAGAAGATATGCATTATCTGTTCTCCAGAAAAAAAGAATTAATAATATGCAAAATTCTTTAGTAATAATTTAGAAGCATGATTTTAATTTTATTTTACAATGGCTTATTACTTTAGAGCTATATAATTATGTAATTACTTTAAAGCTTAGAAATACTAAAATCAGCATTAGAATAATTCTCTTTGGGTGAAACTAGTTTTTGGCCAGTAGCTACCAGATCTGATTGCAAAATCCAAAAAGATTTTAAATATATTTAATATATCTCTGCAAATTTATATATATGTAATATAAAATCATTAATACTCATGTTCGAAAGACTTAACTTTTACTAATCAACAGTTACCACACACACACCAGAGTATTTCTTTGGCACTATAAAACAATATTGCTTAGGTTTCACATGATACATTGTAGCCAATATGGGTCAAAACAAGCATTTCCTGAACATTTTGAAATATGCACAGGAAATAGGAATACATGAGCATAAATCTTCTAAGTTTAATTATGGCCAGTAAGTACAAAATGCAAATTACTCGTACTAAAAACCACGAAAAATTTTGCACTTAAATGACTTCGCTATATACATTTCTTAACAAAGTACATACCTTGAGTATACACATGCTCAAGATCTCAAAAAGCAGCAAACATCCAAGAAATACTTAACAAAACATATCGACAAGAAACAACAATACCTGGGAAATACAGGATAATTTGCTTTGGAAAAAATTTATATTATAAAAGTAACTCTTTTTTATTCCTCCAATGCTCCATTAATTGTGACAATTACTTTACGAGAACCTGCAAAAGAAAGCGGTAAAAATAAATAAATAAATATATATATTTTTTAATAATTACACAATTTACAAAGTCCAACATATTTAACAAATAGAAAATTAACATAAATCTTTTAGTCATTAAGCCATTTCTACAATAAAAAAAAAGGAGTAAGTTTATGGAATTAAATTAATCACAACAGATTTACTAACACCTTCTGATTGAAAGAAGTTGATTATATTATTAAATCCAGATAAAATATTGCAAAAGAAAAAAAAAAGTTTTAAAAAATTAAACTTTTCTAAATCTCATTTCACAGTAGCTTTAATGTGTCAGAGATAAATGCCTACTTCTTCGCAATTTAAACTTTTAACACAAAAAAGCAGTCTTAAGACTTATTATTAATCAATACTAATTTCAAAACCATTTTTAAGATAAGTCAAAAGATTCAAAATGGTTTTTGTTGTTGTTGTTACTAATCTCCATGTCTAGGAATATACTAGAGGAGGTCCACGTCCACGAGTCCATTCACTTTCAGAAAATCGAAAACAAGCTTAGGAGACTTGCAAAGGTCCTCAAGAGACAACTCCAAGCACTCAAGGATATGCATCTTGAGACCTCTCTCAAAAGTAAGTGCTTTCAGGTGTCCACTGAAGATTTAAGAAGTAAAGTGTTGTCTGAACATATCTATCACAATCAATAGCAAGAGTTCTACTTATATCATTAATTATTTCAATATGCCATTCAATTGATAAAATTTAATGTGCACCTTCCGTTATTTTCCAAGCATTCCAAGTTTACAACATAAAACTATTGCACGCAGATCCAAACTTCTAATTAACATAGTAGGATACTTTCATAACAAAATTACATCAAGTTACTATATTAAGTCATTACTGGAAAAAGCTGCATTGGGGAAAAATTTAAAGTGAAATATTTTGTAGCTATATTTTCTTCTTCTTTATTTTTTTTTAAAATATAAACATCTCATTATAAATTCTGAAGTTTCTATATGTAAACTCTAAATATAAAACAAAAAGCATTACCATTTTTATTATCTTTATGCAAGCTTCTTTTTTTAAAAAATAACTTAATAGTAACATTTTTCTTAACTAATGTTCAGCTTTGTTTTTTATACAATTCAATGTGATGCACTCATGCACCTTCAGCTGAAAAGAGGAAAGCGAAAAACAAGAGAGTATGTGAAACATATCATGTCCTCTTATATAACACACCTTCACTTGTTTGTTCAATTCACCATCAAATGGTATTTTAAGTTTAATGAATGAATGACAAATAAACATAACAATGTTTCAATATATACAGTAAAAAAATGTTATTTTTTTAAAATGCACAGATTTAATTCCATAATATTTACTTACATGTTCATGTATTTTACATTACGTTATTAAACTTTACGAAAAAATTATACACTACTTTTTAAAAAATTTTAGTCTAAATCTGAAATTTGTCAAAACTTTTAACCCTAGGAGATGTTTTTGCTGTGATACAAGATATGGATGCTGGCAAAGTTGTTGTTCTGCCTTAAGTAAAAAAAAATAAATAAATAATGTAGAAGAAGGTAATGAAGATCCTACGATTTGCCATAAGATCAATTTGAAATCCACTTAATTAAAGGTGGAGAAATTCATCAAAATAATAAAAATCCATTAACAAGAAACATATAGAAACTTTTATTGATACTTAAATTCAAATAGTGTGCAACTTAATCAGTGCGTTAGCAAAATGAGTTCATAGGAATGCTTTTGTCTTATTTTTCAATTCCTTAAATATACAGTCAAAAGTCTTTAATCCGGACTCGTCAGGACTTCAGCGATTCCGGATTATAGATCATCAGTTTAAATCTGGTAAGATGGCATGCAGAAGTTATAAAATTAAAAATATAAAACGGTAATTTATGAAATAAAGAGCAATTATGATCTAAAGGATATCAAAATTTACAAAAAAAAAGCTTAATATTTATTTGTTTACTTTATTAAACATTTCTTTCAACCTGCGCATGCGTAAAGCATACATCACGCATAGTCGAAATTAGAAAATTGCAACCAGAAAACTATTTGATGTGTATTCGTGATATTATAAGCCAAATAAAATAAAAACATCTGCCCTGAAGATGAGGAAGTGCTGACAGATCAACTTCCAGTTCATTGCGCAGCCCGACGTCCCCCCCCCCGCAGAGCAGCGTGAAACCGATAAACAGATTTCAGAATGGTTAGAGAAACAAAGGATATGCCTTTATACATTTTTTGCAGCAATTCACTTTTTGTTTGATCGATATCGAAACAAGTTTTCGTTTTGTAGATCTTTTGGCAGCTCCAGAATCGGAAATTCTTTTTGACATAATCGGAAGTTCAAACTTATTTTTATAAAATTGCTCTAACAGTCTGCAAAAAATAATAAGCCGGATCCAATTAGAAGATTAAGGAACAGCGCAATCTGCAACACTAACTGAAATAGATACAGTCAAAAGTCATTAATCCGGACACCCAATATCCGGAATGATCTATAATCCGGACCTCAAAGCTACAAACTTTCTGCGCATGCGTCAATGCATAATGCGTTCGTGCATGTACATAATACGTTTACGCATGAGCGTTTAATGTATAATGGACGATATAAGCTAAGCTAAAATTACCTAATTATCTATTTCAGTTAATGTTGCAGATTGCGTTGTTCCTTAATCTTCGAATTGGATCCGGCTTATTATTTTTTGCAGACTGTTAGAGCAATTTTATAAAAGTAAGCTTAAACTTTCGATTATGTCAAATAGAATTTCCAATATATATTTACTAATATGCAAAGGATCTACAAAGCGAAAGTATGTTTCGATGTCCATCAAACAAAAAGTGGAATTGCTGCAAAAAATGGATAAAGGCATATCCTTTGTTTCTCTAACCATTCCGAAATCTGTTTATCAATTTCACGCTGCTCTGCGGGAGGGGGGGGACGTCGCGGCGCGCAATGAACTGGAAGTTGATCTGTCAGTACTATCCTTATCTTCAAGGCAGATGTTTTTATTTTATTCGGCTTATAATTCCTTACTAAATGTAGTATTTCATCTCGATGTATTCCGTTTTTGATATGATTTAAATCAAATTCCTCATCATTATAAATATCACGAGTACACATCAAATAGTTTTCTGGTTGCAATTTTCTAATTTCGTCTATGCGTAATGTATGCTTTACGCATGTGCACGTTGAAAGAAATGTTTAATAAAGTAAACAAATAAATATTAAGCCTTTTTTTTGTAAATTTTGATACCCTTTAGATCATAATTGCTCTTCATTTCATAAATTATGGTTTCATATTTTTAATTTTATAATTTCTGCATGCCATCTTACCAGATTTAAACTGATGATCTATAATCCGGAAAATTCGAAAATTCGGAATCGCCGAAGTCCCGACGAGTCCTGATTAAAGACTTTTGACTGTAATTAGATAATTTTAGCTTAGCTTATACTGTCTGTAACTGTATTATGGGCAAGCATAAACGCATATGCACATGCATAAAGGTATTATGCTCATGCGCCAACGCATGTGCAGAAAGTTTGTAGCTTTGAGATCCGGATTATGGATGTCCGGATTAAAGACTTGACTGTATAATACATTTATTTTTTGCTTAACAGTCACATACTTATTATTAACCCATTAGCCGCTGGTGTTGCGTTGACGCAACGGTCTAAATAAATGCGTATATAAATATAACTACCTAAGATATTTTATACTAGCAGATGATTTTGTGTAGAGAATGTTATGAAGATCATTTCTGTAAAAATATATTTGCCTTCAGCAATCATTTTGTTTATAATAATTAATCTCATACTTTAAGCAAATTTAAGCAAAATTTTCGACCGTGGTATTTTTGCTGAAAATATTTAACGAAAGAATCGCCGTCTTTATGAGTGATCTATTTTTAGTCAGTCAGGTCACCGTTTATCAGAACATTACATCAGTCAGATGTTTATAATTTGTGTTGGGAAGGAAAGGAAAATAAGGTGTTGCGTCAACGCAACGTCAGCATGAAATGGGTAGTCAATCTCCTTTTTCATTCATTCCTTTCGATGTTCTGGTTCAAGTTCTGGTTGTTTAAAAATGCGTAGAACGTGGTATCTTACATTAGAAGAAGCCCTTCAAAGATTTTTTGATGAAGAAACAGACGATGATAATGTTAATAATGACCAGAATGAAACTGATATTGTTGTTGTTCCCACAGAAATTGCAGAGGCTAGTGATGAAGAAGAAAGGAATGGCAATGTTTTAAATAATGATAATGATATTTTACCAAATGATACTGCTGAAGACGTTGAAATTCACGTAAGAAGTAAGTTTCAGCTTTCTAAAAGCAGTTATAGTCATACTAAAAAGTTTAAAAAGCAGAAGATTGAAATCTTGAAGTGGATAAAAAAGGGACTGCTAGTTATGTCTCAGAAAAAACATGAAGAAAGAAATAGAAGAGAAATAAAAGACAAAACACAAGGTAAAACTAGTGCACAGATGTTTGATTTTCTTTTTTGTTTAGACATTTACTATCTTCTTGTTGAACAGACAAACATATACGCTCAGAAAAAAAAAAAAAAATCCCAGAATTTATTGCATCTGAAGCCTATATGAGAAGATTTATTGGAATATTATTGCTTACAAGATATCATTCTTTACCTCAAGAAAAGTATTGGTCTTTTGATAAGGACATTTCTGTTCCTGTTGTACGAGAATCGTTATCACGTTTGCAGTACAGGAATATGAAGCAGAATTTGCATTTTGACAATACTGATAAATTATACGAGGTGAGACCGTATCTAAACTTACTAAATATCAGCACTTTTTACTACTGGAAATATAAAGTCTCTTTTAGATTTCAGACGCGAGAATGCATTATTCCTTTTGCAAACTCCTATTGAGAGTGTAGAATCAGCCAGAAATAGATCAGCAACAGGAAGACTTAGTAAATTCAGCATTCAAAAACAATTGCATTGAGATGGTAGACATTTTATCATAAAGCCTGTTGATAACAAAAGACTTTGTTGTAAAGAGTACCATAGCCAGACTGTTTATAGATGCAAAGTAGGTAATGTAGCTTTACATCATGATTGTAATCAAGCTTTTCATGATTGAATCTTTCAAATGAAATAATCTGTATTTGTAAAAGAAATACAATGTATATTTTAATATTGAATTAATTACAAGTAAAGTGATTTGTAGATTTATAAAACGTTATACAGCTAAAAAGTAATCCTGCGCTCCACTCAAAAGAAACATCACATGAGCACAATCCTACTCACTAAACACCCATAGTCTTATTCCGCTGACGTTGCGTGAATGCAACACTCACGTTTTCCCCAGGTAAGAGCATTTTTTTTTAATTTTCAATGCGAATTTATGTTATAAATGCTTAATTTAATATTTGTTATTATTTTTATGAGAAAAGAAACATTCCTTGTAGTTTTGGCGGTTAATGGGTTAAGAGATTTGAAGACACTTTGTTGTGAACAATTGAAATTTATACAAATATATGAAATGTTTCATTAGTAGCCTTTTGATAACACAGTTTGCCATTTGTGAACATTTGAAAGCGCTGAACAAACACTGAACATAAAACTGCCCTTTATCTTTTATATTTTGAAAGTATTTCACACATATTCTCCTTAATTCATGAAATTAATGACAAACATATGTTTTATTTAGTTATTAAATCATTACAAACCTATTGAAGGTATCATATATTAAAGTAGCGAAATTTTGAAGTATTTTTGTTCATGTCGGAAAACTTATATTTTGTCATATTTTCTCCCACAGCTGTGAAAATACATCAGTATACATTCTAAAAATATTTCTATAATCAATTGAAACATTTATGAAACCTAATCTCTGCATAAAGATATAATTACAAAATATTTCTAAAAAATTTCTATATCTGGCAACTTAATTTTTTAACAAAAACATGATAGAATTATGTATGATCCAAGAAGATTTGGCAAGTTTACATAATATACACTTAAAAGCCTATTTAAGAGATTAATTATTAAAAAAATTAAAGCATATTTGAAATTATTTAGAGCAAATCATATACCTGCTCGATTCCTGTGTTCACATAACCATATTCCTTGCCATGTCCCTAGATTTAATTTGCCTTCTGTAATTGGAATGGTTAGACTTGATCCAAGAAAACAAGCTTTTATATGAGCAGGCTATAAATTAAAATAGTAAAACATGTTAATTTCTACTTAATTATGAATAAATGGGCAACACACAGAGTAAATTTAAAACGAAATGCCCATGCAGCCAGCCTGTTAGCAGGATTCAAACCTCTAAAATCACTATTATAACTTTATTTACAACTATTATATTTATTACAATACTATATTATAATTTTATTTATTTACTTCTGATTTTAATTCAATGAAATACATTTTTATATGAAAACACTCAAAAGTTATGCACAATTCTAGATGATAATTATTTAAAGTAGATTTTGAAAAAATAAACAGATAATATAAGCTGTATGGTAGTCTCTCTAGATAGCAGTATGAATTGCACAGCTGTGTAATAGTTAATCAACTATTAATTAATCTGAGGAAAGACTGGGAAACTAAATTTATTAATTGTACCAACATGAGAAGTTCATCAGAGGACATTGAGAAGTTCATGGGGATTACATAAGTTAAATTTTTTCTCTTCGAATATCATTTGTTTTAAGCTACACTGACAACTGTGATATGTATCATAGTTTGAAATCCCTATCACAAGAAATTAGTTACAGAAGAAGGGGGAAAATAATCTTCCTTACCATATCATCAGGACCTTCACAAGAATGCTTGAATGGAGTTGACTGAAAGGGGAAATAATTAATAATATAAAACAAGAAATAAAAACAGAAATTTCAAAGGAAAGAATATTTTGATTTCCTGCCTTAACAATATAAAAGTAATTTTTAAAATTTTAATGAATGACAAGCTTAGTTAGAATTTTTCTGTTGAAGAGATTTTTATTTTACTCAAATATAAATTAAAACATTTAAGAGATGCAAAGATTCAAAATATGAAATTAATTTTTCACAGACCATTAAACTGTAACACAAAAATAAAACTCAAAACAGTATGCTTAATTAAGTTTTAATCTCAGAATTGACAGGAAAAAATTAATTTAAAAATCATAAATGCAAATAATATAGATCTGTACTTAGATTAAATTTGCTGGCTAATAACAGCCATGGTATACTTAGAAATTTTATTCACTGACTAATCTTAAATCAAAAGTTACAATACTGAACTTACTTCAGGTACAAGTTGTGTTAAAAACATCTCCATGTCAACTCTGTGAAAAAAAAGAAAAAAAATATATCTAAGACCAAAAATGCAAAAATATATGTAATAAGACCGTGCTTAACTGAAATATGGCAGGGAAAATTATAAAAGAAAAGTTTTGAATCACTGAGTTAGAAAACTGATCATTTTTAATGCTTTTAAAAATCCTTTTTTCCAATACTTCATTAATAGTTAAATACATATTTTATAATAAAAACAGGTGCATTTTGGGGGTATACTGTGGGGGGGAGGACCAGAGAAATGTGAAATAAATCTTTGTTTCGGAGATACTTTATTTATCTGCATTTATTGATAGACTGCTTTAATTAAGATTCATGTTTTGGAAAAGGAGTAACAGAAAGTTATCAAAGCTTCCAAATGCATTTTGCAGTATACTGAATTTTGTCCCTATTGAATTTTGCCATTTTATGATAAAATTACAGAATGGCAATTACTGATGTTAACAATAACTGTAAGGATTTCTGACAAAGGAAATTTACGTTGCTTGAGAGTTGTTATAATTTTTTTTTTTAATTCCTGTTTTGATATGCTGTACTTATTTTTGTTAAGTACTGATGCATTTAAACGACAGTATTCTTAATTTTTATCAAGCTCATTCATAGGATACTTGCTCAGTAATTTAAAAGTTATAATTTTTTTTTTTAAATTAGCCCCTTTTAAAATTTCTAATTTATATTATTTGTCTTAACAAATAATACTTTGCTTAGCAATATTATACAGATTTATTTCTACCTTTAACTGCTAACTGTTAGCTATAATAGACTATGCAGAAAAAAGTATAATCCAAAAAAGCTCTGACCTAATTATTTCAGATAAACAGGATTTTACTTTAGAAGGAAATCAATTGACTATCAAATGGATGCATAAACAGTCATAAATATTACACATATCTTGCGGGTTATTAACATAATTTACCGTTCAGATCTGAATAAAAGACAGCCTCACATATCAGAAAAATTGGATTTTTAAAGATAAATTCTATGGAAAAGTAAGATTACCTCACAGGATCTGGACATACTGAAAATACTACACAAACAATTTTAATAAATGGTCTAAATTAGAAATAATGGTCAAAATTAGAACTTTTTTTATCTGGTTCTTTAAATGACAAAAATTTAGAAAGCTGTTTTATGCGATTTGTTTTAAAATACTTGCAAGAAATTACAAAAGCCCTAATTATTTCAGATAAACAGGATTTTACTTTAGAAGGAAATCAATTGACTATCAAATGGATGCATAAACAGTCATAAATATTACACATATCTTGCGGGTTATTAACATAATTTACCGTTCAGATCTGAATAAAAGACAGCCTCACATATCAGAAAAATTGGATTTTTAAAGATAAATTCTATGGAAAAGTAAGATTACCTCACAGGATCTGGACATACTGAAAATACTACACAAACAATTTTAATAAATGGTCTAAATTAGAAATAATGGTCAAAATTAGAACTTTTTTTATCTGGTTCTTTAAATGACAAAAATTTAGAAAGCTGTTTTATGCGATTTGTTTTAAAATACTTGCAAGAAATTACAAAAGGTTTTTTTTCCTTTTAAAAATTAAGACAGCCATAGGTATACAATAGGTAAACAAAATTATTACATTAAATAAACTTAATAATACAAAATGGCAAGATATAATATAGGAATATAAAGAAAAATCTCTTAAATATACAATAGATAAACAGAATTATTACACTAAATCAACTTAAAATAATACGGCAAGATATGTAATGTAAAGAAGAGTCATTAAGTCAAGAAGTCATGCAAAGAAAAATATGCATCGACGGTGAAATGGCCCCAGTGAATAATCCTACTCCCTTTTCTTCCTCCTTTCTGCATGCCTTCCTAATACTATGGTTAGCACTAGCAAAGGCATTGCTCATTTATATGTATGAATACATACGATTCTCCATGAACAATGATACTATTTATGGTACTGATATTCTAAATGAAATATTAATATTGTGAAAAACTGTGTAAAGGCCATCTAAATAGTATTCATCAGTTGCAAAAATGTAAATATTTCGTTATAAAAATTTTTTCCCACATAAAATTTCTTGTTTCATATAAAATGCTTTTATAATTACTATTATTATTTACAGAACAATACTTACGAACTGTAAAGATAGTCAAATTAACATTTTCTCCCAATTCACAAAGTTACTGAAGAGCTGATGACTTTGCATGGGGGTGAGGATACTCAGAAAGTACCAAAGGTTACTTTAAGTTACATTTATTCTGAAATCATTTCTAATCAACAGAGAATATGATTTAATTTCTTGTTATAAGTTACGAAGTTCCACTAATCAAGTTCTGTAACTGTCACGTCAAAAATTATCTCTAAAAATTGGTCAATTGAATTTTTTTTTTTTATTTTCAACAACATTCTGTGACTTTCTTTACTACCTGTAGTGATATTTTCTGGATTTAGAACAATATTATATATTTCACTGTCCATTAGTTGATTGATGGTTAGTACATTGCCATGACAGTGAAAACCTTTTGTTACAGCATCCTTATTTATTACCATTTCTTCAAAAATTCCATTAACTAGAAAATTTTGCGGCTTTAGTGTAGAATTGGGTGCCCCTTCGATTTGCGACATTTTTTTTTTAAATTTTGGTGATGAAACCTCACTTCTGGTTACCACGATAGTTTTAACTTTGTTTTAGCTACCCGATTTTATTTAAATGAAAATAGATTGATGTGTACATGGACATATTTAAGGCAGTGCGCAATGCCTAGTTTGTGCAATTCTAGGATTTTTTTTTAAGTAAAAACAGATCGATGTGTACATGGACACAGATCTTATGCAATTCTTCGTCTTCTTATTTTGGTTTTGTGTAGCGGCCATCTTGAAATTGTGACTTCCTGGCTCCGATCTTGGCGTCAAGAAAGAATCGCCAATAAACAAGGGGCACCCAATTCTAAACTTTTACCAATTTTGCTTTTTATTATTGATATTTTAAAACCTTCGAATTCATGGCTATGATCAGAAAACTTAATTAGTGTCCACTATACACTATTGGGATGCATCATGAGATTAGCGACTGAAGACATGTTGTTCTGCTAAATTTTGTCTTGCTTCTATTACATGGTGAAGAAATTAAGTTTGATTTATATTCAGTTATTTATCATACATCTGACTATTTTATGCACATACTTATTTTAGTCAAAAAATAAACAAATTCTCATGTGTACATAACAGCTCATACAGACCCGGTGCTACACATTTTGCTATCCGGTACAGTCTCAGTAGGTCCTAAATTTTGCTGCCAAGTGCCTTCCTAAATTCTAAAAAAATTGCAGTGCTTAAAAATTCTAAAAGTTTTGCATCCCAGTGCCTCACCTAAATTCTAAAATTTTACCATCTCTTAATTTTGTTGCTGAGTGCTTCTGTAAATTCTAAACATTTTTGCCACCCTTAAATTTTGCCACCACTTCTGGCACTAGTCCTGGGCTTAATAACAAATCAATTATTCTCAATTCAAGCAATACTAAATGAAATCTTTTGGTGCACAAGTATCATTCACGAAAGCTGTTCTTTGCATACAGAAAGAAATTTCTGTTAAATTTTTCTTCATCAACACACTCAATACTTTGCAGCATAGCTGGCTGCATTATGTAATCATTGCCAAGTGTAACATCAAGATAAAAAGTTATGTTCTTTGTATTCATTTACTAATATTAAAATTTTTTTAAAAATTCAGTTGCTGCATGCATCATTTCTTAAGATGCAGTATGTTGATACAGTAATGAAAGCAAAAAATAATAAATGATGATTCATTAAGCTGGCATCAGTGCTGAAGTGAAATTAAGAAACAGGACTCTCTGCATGTTTTATTATGAATAAATATCAAATGTGCAAGCATAAAGCATAAAAACAAATATGGTACTGTTCTCTTATTGGGACCGAAGTTGTTGCCAAATGTTTTGCTAAACTCACCAAGAGATTGGTTCAAGTCACACATGTTTATTTCTAAAGTTGTTATAATGTTAACTTTTTACGAAAAATAAAAGAATGTCTTTTCAAAATTGGCAATGAGAATGCAAATACCTAAGATGTAACAGTTACTTGCATTTTTATTATTATTGTATTTACCATGGATTTGATAATTTGGGCATGACTAGTGATAAAATATCTTCCATACAGTTTGCTCAGGGATAAGGAATTATTCAGTCTGAACAAAAGTGTATGAAAAACCACAAAATGATATCCCCCCCCTGCTTACTTTAGCAAGTTGTTTAACTTACATTTCAAATTTTACAAATATCTGTTTTTATTTTTTCCCTTGGATTTTTCTTCAACTTAACTGTATTGTATTTATTGTAATTTAAATATTTTGGCACTTATTTTTATGCTTCGAATTTTTCGGCAGATCTTTTGGTGATATCTGAATCTTGTCCCATTAACAGTACCAAAAATTCTTAAAAAAACAAAAGGGTTGTTGTTGTGACTCAGAGCTCTGGGTTTTAGAGCACTTTGATGCCTGGATTTCAGACCTTGAACTGTTTAAAAAAAAAAAAAAAAATCTATTTATAACTATTACCTAAACGTTTAAAAAAAATTGAGCTTTTCTTTAAAAAAATGAAAATTGAAACAAAAGGACTGGGAAGCTTTGTTTAGTTTTATTAGTTTTTAATACAAAATAAAATAAGAAATATAATTAAGATTCCTTGGTGTCATACTTGACAATTGCATTTGACAAAATAGCCCATCATAATAGACTAACTTACTTGCTACAAGTAGGGATAATTATTTGAGAAAATTAATACAGTGGCTGAGTACCCTTTTTTTTGGGGGGGGGCAGAAGAAAAAAAGTTGTTTTGTTCAATCTGTTAGTACTGCACTACCAAAAAGTTACACTTCCAAACAGTAGCACATATGCAATAAAACCAAATAAAAAACAAAAATTGACATTAATCTTATCTAAGCAATTAAAAAATAAGTAATTGAAAAACATTTATGTTCATCTAAATATAAATAATTATACCAACAAATCTGATTATACCAAATTCAATAATGAAACAAAATGGTTTTAAAGTATATGCCATAAAAAATGACAAAAAAATTCCAATATATGTGATATAAATGCATGTATCAATATGTTCTGCAATTTAAGAATTTTAAAAATAATGAAGCACTAAATGGATAGTTAAAAGTTAAAATTATTAAATACACAAATCATAAATCATCCTAAAATTAATTTTAATTATGAGAAAAAATTAATGAGATTTTAATACTCAGGTTAAATTTAAAAAAAGAATAAATTAGTAGCAAAACACTAAGGAGTTATATAATTCACCACATTTTCAAACTATAAAACCACTTACCGTACATGGGGATCCCAATTCTGAAAACAAAGAACATAAAATAAAATCAGTTTTTGTTATTAAAAAATTCTTTATATTCATATAATACTATTGTGAACACTTCATATGTAAGATAATGGCTAAATTTATAACATGTAACTATAGCCAGAAATTAGTTTTACAAGAAAAACATTTTTAGTATAAAACAAGAATTCAATCATGAAGATTTAAATAAACATGCTATGCAAACTAAAATACTTTTAACATGAACATAAAGAACTGCAATTTTCACCTTCCCTTATTATTATTTATAAATAAGAAACATTATTTTAAAGGACCTGAGAGTATTCATCTCCAAGCAGTTACATTTGCAGTATCTGTAAAATACACTTCTGCCAATGCACGTTTGCATAGCATAGTTTTAAAATATTAAATTAATTCAAATAGTTTATTTATATAACCATTTTTAATTACAAAAAAAGTACGTGTTTTAAATTAATGGATTTGTTACATCATCTATAAAATATCTTTGCAGTTTCTAAGTCAATAGCTGCCTGCATACTTTTGTAAGAATGCTGCTCCCAAATTTAAAAAAAAAAATGCTCAAAACTTTTATTTCATACTCAACAAGTACTTACATAAGACAAATTGTATAAAATGTGCTTCTAATGAATTTATAACATTTGGGCGTGGTATTGCTAGAGTTCAGCCACCCGATTTTCGCCGTCTGTGTATTTTTATGTGCTGCATCCCCAATAGGAACAGTCCCGTATCTTTCATTTGTACACAAAAATATGGAAAATACATTACTTACTGTAATCAACAATTCAGTTAATATGATCAAAATATTATAGAATAAATTTCTTAAACTGAAGTTGACGAATAAAAGATAAAGTAACCAAATAAAATCAAAATAGATTATAAAAATTGTCAAGTGACAGAAAAATGTTCCCAAGTAATGGATTAAGTTGCCAAACAGCCTGATTTCAATTTCAGTCCACTATTTAAAATTACGCAAAAAGCAAATTTGTCTGATCTAAAGTTTACACATAGATTACAGATTATATGGCAATAACTCTGTCGATCATGAAAAAAAAAAAAAAAAAAGGGGGACAGTCGGATACAGGTCTCTCTTTTTCAGAAGCCATAAAACAACTCGCAGATTTTTTTCCAAAAAGCCAAACTAAGTTTCTTAGTCTTTCTTTTTTTTTTTTTTTCTTTTTGGTTAGCGTAGATTTAAGGGTGCCCCTTGAATTATCGCAAAGTTTTTGTTTCATTTATCGTCAAGCTGTTGTTTCATTTTTGCCAAGTTGTTGTTTCATTTATAGTTACTTGAGTACAGTCAAAAGTCGTTAATTCAGACACCCATAATCCGGAATGATCTATTATCCGGACCTCAAAGCTGCAAACTTTCTGCGCATGCGTCGCGTTCACGCATGCGCACAGGCGTTTACGAGTGCATGTAAGACCTTTACAGCTGCGAATATGTTTTTGCGCATGCGCGTTTAATGTGTAACACGGACGGTATAATCTAAGCAAAAATTATTTAATTCAGTTAATGTTGCAGATTGCGTTGTTCCTTAATCTTCGAATTGGATCCGGCTTATTATTTTTTGCGGACTGTTAGAGCAATTTCATAAAAGTAAGCTTGAACTTTCGATTATGTCAAATAGAATTTCCGATATATATTTACTAATATGTAATTTGTATCTACAAAGCGAAAGTATGTTTTGAAATCCTAAATCTGTTTATCAATTTCACGCTGCGGATTGGAAGTTGATCTGTCAGCACTATCCTTATCTTCAGAGCAGATGTTTTTATTTTATTGGGCTTATAATTCCTTACTGAGTGTAGTATTTCATCTCGATGTACTCCGTCTTTGATATGATTTAAATCAAGTTCCTCGTCATTATAATTCGTCTCCGATAGTGAAGAAAGTGACTCAAAGGTTATTGAAAACGAAAAAATTTCGATTGACAAATAGTCGGTACTCTCGACACAGCAATTATAGGACTTAAACAGCGGAACTTTGTAACTAAACAAGAAATTATGTCTGTTTAATAGAATTAAAGAGAAAGTATTATCACATGAAACGGAGCAAATTAAACAACTGACATTGAAAGAAATGTTTAATAAAGTAAACAAATAAATATTTAGCTTTTTCTTTTTGTAAATTTTGATACCCTTTAGATCATAATTGCTCTTTATTTCATAAATTACGGTTTCATATTTTTAATTTTGTAATTTCTGCATGCCATCTTACCAGATTTAAACTGATGATCTATAATCCGGAAAAATCGATAATCTGGAATCGCCGAAGTCCCGACGAGTCCGGATTAACGACTTTTGACTGTAGTTGGATGTTATGCAAACCCTATTATGATGTAATTGATTGCATGTTACTGTAAATTTTGAATGACGGGAAAAGATTTGTAAAAGCTTGTGATGTGTGTTGGTTCGGATGTACATTGCTTGTTTTGTGATTTAGATGGTAGAATGGCTGAATGTTGTAAGATTAATTTGGAATTTCTTTATGATTTGGAACAAAAGGGGAAAAGTGCATTAATTGACTGGTGTGTAAATGAAGGTTTACTTAGTAGCCATTATAAATGTCCTGTTTGTAGGAAGGAAATGCGTATAGTTGAGCGTCAAAGTATATTGGCCCTACAGAGGATATTTTTTACTCTTATTTTTGTGAATTTATGTGGCGATGCCAATATACGGATTTTAGTTCAAATAAATTTAGGAAATTTTTGGATGCTGTTAAGGAATTTTGTGTGCCTCAGTTTGAAGGACTCAGAAATTTCTAAATAAGGTAAGTGGATATTTGCTTTGTGTTGTGCTTAGATGCATAAGATGAATTTCCTTTTTTATGTTATTTTATTGTTTGATTTAAAATGTAGTTTATTGAGATTATGTATTTTTTTGTTTAGCTCTAATGTAGAATTGGGTGCTCCTTTGACTTGAGTGAAAATAGATCAATGTGTACATGGAAAGTCAAGGGAGTGCATAATGCCAAGTTTATGCAATTCTCTGACTTTTTTAAGTGAAAATAGGTCGATGTGTACATGGATAAAGTCAACGGAGTTTGCAATGCCAAATTGTGCAATTCTCTGATATTTTTCTAAGTGAAAATAGGTTAATGTGTACATGGATATTTTGAAAATAGGTCGATGTGTTACATGGTTATTTTGGCTTTATGTAGCAGAAATTTTTGCACCAAAAATCGCCGCTACACAAAGCCAAAATAACAAGTCAAAGAACTGCACAAACTTGGTATCCAAGTACCACCAAAAATTGCCAAGGTGCACCCATAAATATATTTTTACCTTCTTTTTTTAAATTTTAGATTTTACATTTGCATGCTCTCTTTTCCAATCAGCCACACCAAGTATTAAGATTTAGGTTATAGCATCGCCCAAATACCAGGGTGTAACAAAAGTTTCCCGCCACCACAAGTAACGTCTGTGCAAAAACAGTTCACGTTGGTATGTTTAATCATGTGTTGTCAAATGATTTTTGGCATTTGAAAGAAGAGACTTGCTTTAGAACACTGTGTTTTAAAATTTATAAAAAATATCGTTAAGGTGTCTAAAATGGAATTATCACGCTATCAGATTAGAACAATCATTTACTTCCAGTTCTGTTGCAAAAAGTCAGCAACAGAATGTAACCAAATCATGTGTACAGGTTTAGGTACTAATGTTGTATCATATGACACTGTGATGGTTTGGTACCGAAAGTTCAAAAGCAAGGACTATGACATTCAAGAAGCAGAGTGCTTCGGCCAGCCTACTGTTGATGTGGCACGCCTACAAGAACTTGTGGAAGAAGATCAATATGCAATCACTTCAGAGCTTGCTAAGAAGTCGATAAGGAGAAAGACATTAGTGCCATGTCTATTAGTCGAACTGTGCATCACATAAACTTCACGTACAAGTTCATCTCCGAGTGCCACATGAGCAGACTCAAGTAGATACGGACAACAAAGACAGACATGTTCGGGCTTGCACTAATCTGCTTGAATATCAACTCAAGGACAAAATTCTAGACCAGATAGTCACTTGTGATGAAAAATAAGATTTACTTCAAAAACACAGGCCAAAAAGGGGGTTGGTCTGTGCCCGGTGAGCCCATCGGCAGCATCGCAAAGTGCAATTGGACTAACAAAAAGATCATGCTTTATATCTCGTGGGACTGCCATGGTATTATGCATACAGTACATGGAAAAAAGTAAAACCATTGACAGTAAAGTGCAAAGATAGATGCTAGTCCATGTTGATGCTACTATCAAGGAAAAATGTCGAACTGTGTTCTGGTTCAAAAAGGAAATGTTCCATCAAGATAATGCAACACCACATGTATCTGCATTCACCGGCTGGACTCCGTATGGACACAAATGGGATTTTTTAACACCCACAATATAGCACCAACATCACTCCTTCAGACTTCTACTTTTTTTCACACCTGCAGCAAAATCTTGCAGGTGCTACCTTCCATTCTGTAAAGGACATCTGTAATGAGGTTGATATATGTTTGGACTTGTGGCCACCTATTTTCTGAGCTTTGAAAACTACCAAACCATTGGTAGAAAATCATAGATTTTGGTGGTGATTACTACTCACACTAAAGGTACTGCTTTCATGCTTATTTTTTAACTTTATTAAGAGCGTTTCTAGCGGAAAACTTCCATTACAACCAGATAATTTCCAAACACATTATGAAGAGTTCATAAATTTATTTTTACATTAAAGACATGAACAATTCATAAACAAACTTCTGAATTTTCTTAATAAATATGCTATGAAAGTACTTATTTTATGTTTCTAGTTATGTTTATATTAAATTAGTTAAATTCCAATGTTATTTTAAATGATATATATTTTCACTTCATTTAATGTTTTCAAAATATCCATGAACAAATATGATCATATTAAATGGCACCTTAACATATCATCTGCATCACTATAATCATGAACTACTCATAATTAATCTGTTTTAATGTTAACTTTTAAAACTATTTGGTACATCTAATTAGTTCTGTTTATCCCAACTCTGTTATATCTGATAAAGCTCAACTATAAAACCAAATCTTGGTACTGCTTGTTTGACAAATACTGTACCACAAAAAATATTTTCTACATTGATTTATTATTTATCATTTTAGAGGAAATTTTGGCTCTACTTTTATATGCGCCCTAATTTCACCAAATGTGTTGATATGTGTTCTACGCTAGTTTTTGGCGCGATTGCCTGTTGTATGGCAACCCTGTTGAAGTTGAAAAAATCTTTTCCTGGAGTGGTTGGTTCGTGTCGCGTGTGTTTTGAAATGGCCTATGTTGCAATGATAGACGTGGGAAGATTTTAGATTGTATGGAAAGTAAATTTAGTATTAAAAGGTACGATGCTGGAGTTGTTAACGAGTCTTTTGTTCACGGTGTGTTTATGAGGATTGAAGTCCATTTTTGAAATTGCTGTGTGACTTTTAAAACAGAGTGTGAAATACAGAGCTGCTACGAGAACTCGGATGGAGAAGGGCAATTCTGATAGTTATTGTGTGGATTTGCAGTTAAATGGTTCGGCGGAGTTTAAGATTTGGATTGTGGTTTTGGTGTAGTAAGTTAACTTTGGAGGAAGTTTTTAGTGTTACTTTCAAAATTTTGAATCTTAGAAAGACATGTGATATAGCAAAATCATGGCACTTTTGTTCAGAGACATTGTGTGACTGACGAAGTTTTATTCAGGAATGTAATAAGCGCATTTTATTTTACTGTTTTTATTTTGTAGAATGTTATGTTCATTGTTTTTTTACTATGAATTTTTGTTGTTATTGTTGTTGTTATTGTTGTTTGAATTGTAATTTAGTTTAGTTTATTTGGTTGATTTGTGCACAATTCATAGATGTTTTTTTAAGTTTAAACAGGATGCTGTGTACATGGAATTCTTTGAAATTTAATGTTATTATGTTAATTTATCAAACCAAGGTGTGTGTAGTTCGTATATTCGTTCGTTGCCTAGATTGTGCAATTTGTGGATTTTTTTTTAAGTTAAAATATATCACTGTGTACATGGATTCTTGTCAAATATTTCCTGTTAGAAACTTTTTGTTTTTGCCATCTAAATTTTTTGTTTTTGTTTCGGATTTTTAGCTTAAATTGTGTGTTCAAAAATGGTTTTGCATGTGCGAAAACCATGTTTTTGAATACATTTTAGGCTTAAAATTCGAAATGTAGACAAAAAGTTTAGATATGGCAGCATGGAGTTTCTCACCAAATAATATGGCGAGAAATTTGGCGACCTGTGGGCGCATATAAGAGTAGTTCCGCAATTTTTAATTGAAAATTTCAGAATCACACTATCCAAATTTAATGATTAATGTATTCTAGAAATCAATAACTTAAGTTTACTATAAAACTCTTACCTCGTTCAAGGCAAGGCTTGCGGATGTATGCATTACTAAAAAGGAAGAGAAAAAACATGTCAATTTCAGGTCGCTAATAAAATTATACTATAGCAAGGCATGTTTTCATTTTAATTCATCAATATACACATAATTTTTTTTTTAATTGCTCACACAATATACTTATTTGGTCAGTTTTTACAATAAGTTGACTACACAACTAGAAAAGCATTTAGTTAAAAAACTTGGGCAAGTTTTAACATTATATCAATAACTATTAAATCTAATAAAACTAATCAGAAAATAATTATTTATTAGATATACAGAAAAGGCAATACTGTGCTAAATAATTCGAAGGATTGGTCAAATTCTTCATTGTCTAGAAATCTTGCAAACTCTACAGCCAATTACTCCAGATTTGAATTCATTTAATATAGTAGATAAGTGGATGAGTGGTTCGAAAAAACATTCTATGTCTTAGTGATAAACAGACTTCCCCCCCCCCCAGGAAAAAAAAACATTTTTTTTTTCTTTTACAAATTTTAGTAAGAAATAAGAATTTTAAATACCAGAACAAGGTTATGTAATAAATGCAATAAAAAAACTTTTATTCAGGTAGTTAAAATGGGAAGCACTAAAAAAATTTTGAATTTAGTTGCTTCACATATATATATGTATATACTTTAAATGGAACCCTTAGCACAAAATCTTAACCTAAAAATTGCTTTCAAATTCTAGGAAGACCCATAGCATACTGTTTTGAATGCAATTTTAGATGCCAAGCAGTTGTCTCCAATTGATAAGGCATCCTAACCTCCAAATTTAAACTCTATTTAACATAACTTTACAAAAATTTGAATATAAATTTCAAAAGAATTACTGAAATGATTATTACAAAATAAGTATAACAAAATGAGGAATGAGTTCATTGAATCAACACAGAAACGAATAAATCATGCTAACAGTAATGCAATAAAGTATTAGAAATGTTAATAAAAAGTAAAACAATTTGATTTTTATTTTGTACTACTGCAAATGTACGATTATGTATACTCTTTTAACTTAGCGGATATCTAATGTGTTATGAAATTCATATAAAAGGTGTTATGAAATGCATACTATGTAAGATCCTACATTCTGCACAAACATACTTCAGGTTATCTTCATTTAAAAAGAACTGGTAGTGTAATAACGCCACAAAATCCCCTTTACCACAACAAATATTAGTATCATATCTTACAATAATTTTAATGAACACTTCAAATAAACTTTAATCAATCAATTTGTCAAGTAAAGCAATCATGTATCCATATTTCAAATATTTAATGTAACAAAATAAATACACTCACTTTGAACATGAAAAAGACCAACAGAAAATTTAGATATTTCTGGAACTTGTTTCAACAATTCATCAGTTACTAAATGACATCCTCTATGTACAGGCCGAAGATTAATTTTGCGTTGAAACCATGCAGAACCCTGTTTAACGATCCCTTTGCTCGTACTAGCAGACGCCATGTTTGAAATATTCAAAACATTCAAAAGAAGAAGTAGAAGAAGAAATTGCATCATTGCCATCTTTGCAATAAGGAATAAAGGTAAAACTGAATCATTACGAGACTCTCTACCTTTAAACGAAATGCAACCAAAAAAAAAAAAAAAAAAAAAAAAAAAAAAAAAAGAAAAAAGAAAAGAAAATCTGAAATGTTTCGGATTTTAATTTACGTCCAAAGAGGTGCTTTTTTAACATTTTGTGTGCTACATTTATTTATTAAACGTTCTTCCCGCTTAAACCATAAAATTAAGTTCAAGAGCAATATCGCAAAATAATTTTAAAATGAGCGTATCTTTAGAATTTCCCATGCGCAATCTCACGCTAGAAGATTTAGATAATATCCTTGATCCAACATTTGGAGAAAGAATAGCCAGATAAGTCATTAAACCAATTATTAAAGCAAAATTGAAATTTGGATTGGGATTGGAAGACCTTAAGAATTCTTGTGTTAAGTGTAAATGAAAACAGATATTAAAAACTATCATGAAGTGATCTCTAAAAATGGAAGATTAATGGGGAAAGGAAATTGCGCAAAATGTGAAAGTAAAAAAAGTGTTTTTTTAGGAAAAAGGACTTAAAGATCCTATTATAATCCTTAAACAGGTTATTATAGAATTGATGAATTGAAAAGAAAAATAGAATGTTCTAAAAAAGATGTTGAAGAATTTTTACATACACAAGATGAATATACGCTACACAAACCTGTTATTCGTAAATTTAAAAGAAAAAGAATTTATGTTCCAAATAGAAATAATCAATTTGATGCTGATTTGTTATTTGTTAAAAATTAAAGTAAATATAATGATGGAACCAAATATTTACTAACCTTTATAGACGCATTTAATAAATATGCGTGGGTTTTTCCTATAAAAAGAAAAACATCCGAAGAAGTAGTAAAAGCCATGACCCTTTTACACTAAGCGTTCGATCCCAGCCGAACGAGAAAAAAATAGAAATAGAAGACTTGTACATATTTTTTATTTTTCTCTTATTGCTTATATTTTCCTGTTTTTATTGCAAGTTACAGTATTCAGACGTATTACAATTTACGTAATACGTCTAAATACTGATATTACGTACAGATTACGTACAGACGTATTACAATTTTTACAAGCTCGTTTTATTTAATCTAGAGATTTTTGAATTTATGTACTTTTGAACCTTAGTGCAACTGACTCCAGATGGGCCAATGATGTTTTACCGAGGTTTTAACAAAGAAACCTCATGAATTTACGAACCCATGAAAGACTTATAGAAGTGATATATAGTAGCAAAAGACTTAGAAGTGATATAGGAATTTATGAACCCATGTATAACTTATAAAGTGATATATAGTAGCAAAAGACTTAGAAGTGATATATAGTAGCAAAAGCCGTTGAGGCTGAAAGCTACTTATACAGCTGATGATCTGTGATCTGTGAGAAGTAGTAAAAGGTTTTAAAAACGTTTTTAAAGAAAGAATGCCAAAATTTATTTTGACGGATGAGGGTACTGAATTTACAGGAAAAGATACTTAAAAACTATTTAAAATACTTAAAAAAACTAATTAAATGTACTTAAAAACTAATTAAATGATTATAACATAAAATGATTTACAACCAAAAATAAAGAAATCAAGTCGGCTATAGCAGAAAGTTTTAATAAAACCATCAGACGAAAAATTGTAAAATATTTATACGCAAATAATACGAATAGATATTTAGACGTATTACCCAAATTAGTTTAAAATTGTAACGATTCATATTATAGATCTATAAAAATGACACCTGTCAAAGCCAGTAAGCCTGAAAATAAAGTAAAAGTTTATTGTAATTTACATGTCGATCCACTGCACAAAACTCCTAGAGGGCCTAAATATAAAATAGGAGATCGTGTCAGAATTTTGAAATTTAAAACAATTTTTTCTAAAGGTCCGACTTTTACAGAAGAGATTTTTATTATATCAGATGTTATAAAATCAAAAATATATCCATATATATACAGTTATAGAATAAAAGACTTGAATGGTGAAAAAATTGAATTTATGAAAATGAAATGGTCAAGTATAATAAAAAAGATGACGTTTACAAGACTGAAAAAATATTAAAAAAGAAAGGAAATAAATATTTAGTAAAATGGTTAGGATATTCTGATGAATTTAACAGTTGGGCAAATAAACAAGATCTTTTATCTCTAAATAAATGAATGAATATCGATTATACAGAAGAAGTAAAAAAATTTAAAAATTTATATTAACTGATAAAATAATCAAATAGCATGGAATTGGATAAAATATTATCTAAAACAAAAGGATCGCGATAATAAATCAAATCGCAGGGAATTGGGTAAAATATTATCTAAAACAAAAGGATCAGGATTTAAAAAATTACCTAAGTTTATTCTTAATAAATGGAAAATTATCATGACTTAACAAAAAACTTTTATCATTATGATGATATGTAGAAAGTAAAGAATTGACGGTATTAGAGAAAGCAAATGTAGAATATAATAAAGTTAGTAAATATGAATTTTTATCCAAAATAAAGAAGCAAGAATATTACTTTCAGAGTCTTATATTCGAATAAAGTTTTAAATTCTAAAAAATAATGGTCTTTTTATAGGTAATGATAACGTTACAGCAAATTTCGGATTAGGTTTATTTACAGGTAAAAAACTGGCAATAGGTGGTAAAGCCATTTGAACATACTAGTGATTACTTTTCTATTATACAACAAGTTATAAGACTTGATTAATATACACCTGATTATACAGCAACATAAATAACTGATATGTTTTGTTTTTTGATACGAGTGATCATCCTAATTGAGCAAAATATATCATTAAAGATGATGGACCCGTAACAGCTCAAGGCCCACCAGCGGACGGTAAAATCGCTGAACACTGGTAGTTCGGTCCGAGGTTCGAATCCCGCGAACGGGCTGGCTGCATGGGCGTTTTCGTGGTTTTCCCCATGTGTAACGTGTATACGAGCCAGTTTCCCTTAGAAAGTCCTCCACGAAGGCATCCCTCCTGTTAGGCAGATAGCCCTCGAGGCTTTGCCATAATCACACACACACACTTCTTCCTTACCGACAGCCTTCGTGGTGTAATTGAAAAGTATGTCCGGTTAGCAATACAATCCCTTACCAAGATTCGAATCGCATATCTCACAGATTTTGGGGCTGTTTCTACCCTAAAATAAATCTAATGAATCTACAAGAAGCGCCTGAATTAAAATGTGTAGACGATAATCAGTCACCACCTGAATTTGGATACTTCCTATTCGACCTTTAAATGGATAGCAGTCGGAAGGTCCGGAGTTCTAATCCTGACGAAAGCATTGTCCCTTTTCTATGTTTACTGCCACAAAATAAATCTAAAGCGTCTACAGTTTACCTTACGAATGTCGTAATGTCGTATGAATGTCAGATCTTTTCTTCCTGCAAAGTCTATCAGAGCACTGACATTTTAGTAATAAAAATTATCTATTCGAACCCCTGTGCGTAAACTGTAAACCACTGCCGTCTAAACGATCGTTTTTCCATTTAATGAAGCAAACTGTTTGAGTCATTCCGTATTCTGCAAGCTGTCATCGTTATACGCATCATAGGATGTCTTAATTTATCTTTCAAATTATAACAATTAATTAAATATAATAAAGCGAGTAGTTTTGTGACAGAAGAACTAGGCTGACGATTTTAGACTATGTACTTTGCACAATGAGATTAGATTAATACTTCTTGTTTTATCAAATCTGAAATTTATTGCGTAAAACTATAACTAAATTTTTTTCGTTTTATTTAAGTGGTTGGATGATGCAAAATTTTTACTCTGAATCATTATTAGTCTTTAAATCTCTCTTCTTTCTCTCTGTTAATGATATTTTCTGAAATAATATTTTTTAACTATAAAATCTAACAAATATGCTATTTTCTTCACTTTCATTCATCGCATCAATCTCCCACATCTTAAGTTCAAAAAGTAAAAACTAAAGTCATTTCTACAGTAACGAGAGAATTCCATTTGTTTTATTTGAAGTAAATTAATAACCTAAATTCCGCACTAACTTTACTTTAATAATCAAGAAAAGGAATTGAAAATTTAAAAGAAACCTTGGGAGTGGCATCACGGTGTCTTCTTGTATCACGATGTGGGTGAAATTTAAACACTACTCACGACCTTCAACCCACATTTCGTGACTGAAAAACGTGCCCACTCATATGAGTAGATCGTGTTTTTCGTGATCTCCTACCCTCTACTTGTCGAGATTTAATCGTATTCGATTTAGTTGTAAAATAGTTATCGGAAGCTTTCATTTCGTCGTGTCACGATGTGATGGCACTAGGCGCAAAGCTAATCTCCTTATGCAAAAATGGATAACACATTCAGATGTATTTGATTTGACTTAATGCGGAAGAATATGTTTCTAACACATTTATCCTAATTTTATTCCTCAAAGATTTTGATACCAATCTATCAAAACCTCTATACTCAACCTACAGATTTCTATTTGATCGGGAACTATTAAACCACCACACGTGACAAGAATTATAGCTATGTCTAAAGCAATTACAAGCCGAGAAATTGTTTGAATAACCTTTTTTATTAAACAAAAACTAGAACATAAGTGCACATTCTTGCGCTAACAATATCACACGACAACGCGTGGTGATGCAGCCAAGTTTCAATTTAAAATGTAGAATAGTAGTCAAAGACTACACCATTAAATTTAAATCTAAGTTGGCTCAGGAATTCTAACCAGCGTGTTAAGGAATATTCTTTGATATCGCCAAGAGATGGCGTTAGGAGTCCATCTATTGGCTTACTTGACCTTTCCCCTTCTGAACACGTGACTTGAAAAAATATTCTTCTTCTTGAAGGTAGAATTTCGATGCACTACGCAATAGAATTCGATTTCGATTTAAGCTGGAACTATTCAGTTCTTGCCTCTTGAGCATTAAATATTCGATTCAGGCATTTTAGCCTACATTGTATATATGTAAATATTAAGTTTAATTAAA